TTGCTTGAAATCCTGACTTGGGCTTGGTGATTGCAGCCCTGAATGCCTCAACACGAGTGAGCGGGAAATGCAACTTGCACAACCAGCTTGCTTTCACTTATTCTTTTCTCTGTTGTAACATTTTCCATCACTTACCATTTTGCATTTAGCCTTCACCACCCTTTTCTGTGGCTTTTTTTTCTCCTTGAATTTTCTATTCTAGGTTGCATTTGTAATAAGCATCTCATGTATTGTTCTCATCCATAGGTTACATACTCTTTTCCAGGCAGCTCTATTGGAAAGAACATCAAAAGGCCAGAGATATAACCTCTGCGTAATGTGGGAATTAATAGTATATCGTTATGTTGGAGAAGTACCTTGGTTCTTCCCATATATTTTTAAAGAGGAAATAAGGAATTGTTTCTTTTTGAATTAAACTTCAGTATATACTGTGCTTTTGCATTCAATAGGATAAAATTCCCCAATTACTTGAACTCTAATCCCCAAGTCTCACAAGTTTTCTTTTTCACTTATACAAATGCCAGTGTGGGTTACAGCAATTTCTGGGTATGGTAATTCGTTCACATGACTTTGCAATGTTGGGGTTCTTTGCTTCTAGCAGTGTAAATAGGGAAGAGGAGAAGAGAGTATCTTATTGCCAGCCCTGGAGCTGGTTCCTATCCATCTGCTCACTGAACAGAACTCTGCTTTGTGGCCCTAATAATTTGAGGTGAAAAATCCAGTTTGCAATTCAAGGTGAAATACCAGTTGCAAGTAAAACAGCTACTGCGAAATAAATACCTAATCAAATATTAACTGTATTACAATGTTCACAGAAGATTCTTTATTTGCCACTCATTGTAAGGGGGAGCTAGGAAATACTGTCTAGGAAGTGCCTGTCATAATCTCTAAAAATGAAAGAGAAAAATGAACAGTGGATAATAACAATAACTTAAGTAAAAATGTATTGATGTGAGCAAACTAGCATTAGGAACTAGTAAGACTGGCTTATTGAAGCCCTTTGCATCCTATTAATGCCCACATTTTCATTTATTCATGAGTTCCAAACTTTCCAGTTTGGAATACAATAATGATACAATAATTCAAACAATAAGTTGGGTTACTTTAAATTTTTTTTTTAAAGATTTATTTATTTGTGCATACAGAACTGGGGTACAGGCCAGAGGCTCAGGGGCGGCGAGAGGCTTCACCAGAGACAGA